GCCGTCTGCAAATATGAGGACAAATGATTGGTCATTTTATAAGATACAGTTCTCCTAGATGGCTTAGGTAGCATTCATTTGAAGTCCATTATGGTATATATTTCTAGGAACGGTTAGAAGTTAAAGTTAAGCCTTAGCTCTGACGCATAGTATTCCAAACCAACCCCAACTAAGGAAACTTTTTAAGCAAATAAGAACTCAAAAGCGAAGGTGGCTTTAGGCACTGAAGATTTTGCACAAAAATTCGCGCTTGTTAGCCATTAACTTGAACTAAAATTTTTCATTATATATTTATCAGAAGGCGCGGTTGGGATATTCGCCTTATGCTATTGGATCTCGTTGTATTTTTTTGAGTTCACAAATCAGTAACTCAACAAGGAACCTCAGCTTGCAATGTCTAGATAACCTTACTTTGACTGACATAAGTGAGGACTGTGCTTCGTGCCTTTTAGGTGACGGAGTAATCAGTTTTCAGGAGCTACAGAACTACCTTCTTCTTCACAACATTATCTCTCCGGATCTGCCAGACGCAGATCGAAACTGAAAGCCCCGTCTACCGCCTTACTGGCTCACTCTACCAGATTCCCCATCTCCCCATCCCCTCTTCCCTCCACCCCCCTCCCAATGAACTCGCGCCGAACTGATAATCATTTCACTCCTTCCCCCTCCCGCCTAAATCCCTTCAGGACCTCCCAGGCATCTGCTCAGAGCCGCCTGTCTCGCATCTCTGTCCCTCTCCGATGAACTGGTTGGGTTACCCCCCCTCCCCACTCTAAGTGGCGCCCATTGTATATTTCTCTGACTCTGTGTAAATTGTGACAAGTTCTGCCCTTTATTCCCCCCCCCCTGCTCTACCATATGACTGTGCTCGAGCAGATGCCTAATGCATGAACTTCCAACTCGCTCCCCCCCACCCGACATAAGCCGCCATTTCTCGTTGAATTACAATCATCAGTAATTTTTACGCCGATTTGAAACGACAACTTTTGCTGTTGCCATTCAGACATCATGTAGCGGCTAAGCGGTGATGGTGTACGCTCAGTACGCCTCAACTTCAGGCCATATCCCAAGTTGTTAGAAGCAGGACGCCATTTGGTTAGGACACTTTATTCTGTACAGAATAGTGAAGGGGAAAGTTGGCAACCGGACGAAGATGCGTCCGGCGCGGCGGAGGCGGCGTCCGCGAGAGCGACGAGCCCTGTGTCTCCGAAGGTCGCCGCTACAAAAGTGTCGTGGCAAATTGTTTGCGCTAGTGTCCGCCTGTATTACCAATCAGCGAGAGGAGTTTCGTTGATTGGCTCCAAGCCCACGCGAGGGTAGTGACAAGCCTCGCATGGTGCAGGCAGAGAATCGACCAGGTGCGTGGTGCAGACAGTGAATCGCAACAAGACAAATCGAAGCCGGGCAGACGTGGGTGCCGTGGCAGGCTGTGGCTAGGACGTAGGTGCAGGCGATAGCGAGAGGCGCGACGTAGCCATTATGGCTGCCCACTACAATCACTAGGTAGGTCAGTGCTAAACTTCCGGGGAGGTAGGGTTTAGCGTAGATTTCCCCTTTCGCGGCACCGAACTGAGATACAGGTTTGGGGATGCACTTTGCAAATGCTTACTTGGGGAGTCTTACCGATCATCGAGTACGCCTGTGATCATAAGTCAGTCAATGACCCCATAAACTCCGACCAAACCCCACTGGCAGCCTGGTGCGCATGAAGCACATTCTCACTGCGCAGACAGACAGGACGGCCGACTTCGGCAATCGCCTGGAAAGCTGACTATTTCTAATTAGGACTAAAAATTTTAAGATTGTGCCAAAGACATGCGTCCTTTGAACTCTGACTGCAAATACTTGAAGTGACGGAGACGTCGCCTTGGCACGTCTGTCTCGCTCATGCCCAATTTCATTTTTCTTGGCTCAAGTCTACTGTCCACTCCGTATACAACCGTGTAAAACCGTGTACTAGGATGATACTTCATAAAACCGACAAGGCAACGGGCTCGTGGCCCGGTGAGTAGAGGCGTTGACTTCTAAACCAACAGGTCGCGAGTTCGAGGCTCGGGTGTTCCACACTTCGGGCTTGGATATGGCTGGCTGACGACGGCTAATAAGCCAGAAATGGCCATTCCAGTCTCCCTTGTCTTTGTCGGTAATGTTATTCTGCCTATGTATCATGCGCCGCTGTGCGGCTGCTGGTTGGGCTCGAGAGAGAGCCCTTAAGGCACAACGGAACGAGTGAGTTCCGTATGAACGATCGGTGAGCGCCCCCTACCACTTCATAAAGTATTTGCAGTTAACAGCAAGCCATACCTTAACCGTATACCGGAGACTCGAATCCTGGTCGATTGCTCATTAAGCATTGATCGAAACGCTGTATCAATGGCTCGAGTCCTATTGGTTGAAACCAGGACTGGAAAGAAGACTCAGTCGCTTGACGTCTCAGGTTCGAGTTTGAGCTTCATTCCGGAACTTTCTCTGGTGAATCGTTTCAAGTTTTATGAATCTGAAACCCCGAGGGAATTTAATCCTCCTTTCAGGGGCTAAGTTAGCCGTCTCCTGGATCGCGTCTTTCCTCTTTTATTTGCAGGCGTCCACTGATCTATCTCAGCTGCAGGGGCGAAGACGGTGTCAACCCTGAAACTCGGGTTTAGTTGCCGCAAGGGCAGTACCTGTCGGTAACAGCTCTCGGTTATTGACCGCTGGTAGCTTTGTGACTGCCCCCGGAGGTGGACTGACTCGTATTCCGTCCTCAAATCTTAACATAATAGTGAAGGCCACCCCTGTCTAACTTGGTAGACGGGTGTTTCTTAACGGATGACTGCACAAGAAATAAAACGCTTTCTTGTAGATGGAAATTGCTAGACTTCAAGCGTTGTAATCTATTTTTGTTGATTCATATGAATTAGAAAAAATGTCATTGGTGCTCCACGGGTCTCCTTTTTGCGAAAAACACCTAAAGATCTCTCTAAAAACGCTAGATGTTCAGGTTTGCTTACTGTAGTTTGCTATTGACTCAGCCTGTGAGGCCTTGCCATTTTTTGCATTTTCATAACTAACATGGTTAGATATATATTTATTGGAACCAACAGATTTCGCGACGGCTTATCAACTGCAGCCTGTCGTTGCATAACACAGATAACAAGTGAGAAAGGTACAGAGATTTGAACTTTTACAAACAAAATCAATATAAAACAGCAAGGGTATCGTATACTGCACGTAGACTAATCAATAAAATGGTAACTTGAAAACGGAAAGAAAACGGGAAGTTAACACGCCGAGGGATTTCTCAAACCAAAAGGAGCTCAGATCTACCAGGGCAAGCTAAGGTTGACCATGTGGTCTAACTGTTTACATCGGTCGCGTTTCTCTCGAAGTACGTAGCCGGCCCCAAATAGCGCAGTAACCGAGTTATTCGTGCTCGAACAAATACTCGGAAAGATGTTTTGGGGGCAACCGAATGACCGCTATCAAGGAGGTGCTTTTTAATAGAAGACAGTGGAATCTTATTCTCCTGCTTTAGAGGCCATTTAGGCAGTTGCTTAACTGGCCTGTCTGCCATTTGCCTTTGCGTTCGCCCAATGTACTTGCATCCACAAGAACATGTGAATTCGTTGACTTAATTTGACGTGGCGTGCAATGGTAAGGCATCCTTCGACCGTGGAACTTGGATAGCCTTAGTAGGACTGCAGAATATGAGTTCACCTGAGTTGTATGTTCTTTTAATGGCGCATATCAATCGCCGCTTGATGGTATTTGAGATGTCGTCACCCTTAAGTGTAAAGATATTACAAAGGGCTATTTCAGAACGGACTGCTTCGTCAATTTTGTTCGTAAAGTGTTGCTGTACTTTTCGATGAACTGTGTTGGATACCCCGTTTAAGCAGGCCTGTTCTGAGGCGAGAAATTTCAGCATCCGACGTTTCAATAGAGCAAATGTTTCTTGCTCTTTGGAATAGAGTGTAAACTAAATTTCGTTTTTGTTGTATCGGCACAAAGCTCAAAAAGTGTAGGTATTGGTCTTTCCATGTATCCTTGTGGAAAACCGACCGCCCTATTGGACCACCTTCCTGTCTAGTTATGAGGACATCTAGGAAGGATAGCTTGTTACAGTGCTTCTTTTCCATTGTGAATTTAATCTTAGGATGGAGACTATTCATGGCAGCAAGTAGGTCTTCGGCTTCCTCATTGTTATCAAGAATAGCAAGTGTCCTCCACATATCTTTTGTTCAGTGTTTTCATATTCAATTTAGCTGACAATTTTTTTTTCTAAGTGACCCATAAGGTATTTATTTTGCATGTATCTATAAAGGTACACTTTGAGTGGACTTTAAAAAGGCGCCTGTCTAGCTAAAGCAATTATGAAGAGGAGCAAGGGCCGAGCACAGGCACATTTTGCTTATTTTCCTGAGCTTTGGAACTCGCGCAGGAGTCCATCGCCAGAGGTAGTAGCAGCAGCAGAACAAGCGACAGATATAAGGCATGTAGGACAATTTTCGAGCGACGGCGCAAGATTGGATGCATCTGCGCAGGGCCGTGTACGCCAGCACCAGATCGATAAACCGATAAACCGAAGCGTCTCACAAACGAAGCTGTGTAAAGACGCCCTTCAAACGGATCCAAACGCATTGCGACAAACCGGAGGACAGAACACGTTAGGCACGTTATCTCCGCAACCATTTTGTGCAAAATGGCTATCTGAAGGCATTTATAAGTCGCCGCCTATGTGGTCGTCCCCAGAGGATCCGAACACTAACACCACCAACGATATAGCATTCGGTACCATCCATCAAGGGCATTTCAAAAGCAGCAGAGCGCATTGCTGTGGAGATAGATGTCGGGATTGCACACCGCCCAAAGCCACCATGCGCAGTAAGGTCAGGAAAATTAAAGACCGTTTAAAGCCTGAAGAGCAATCTGGGGTAGTGCATCGTATCCCGTAACAGAACTGTCCTTGTAACCACACAGGCCAGACTGGACGTCTGCTGGGATTGCGCTTACGCGAACATATGCTGGCTGTGCGACGAGGCGACGCATTATCACTAGTGGCTGCCAACACCTACGAAATGGGTCATGAGTTTAACTTCGCAGCCGCCAAAATAGCCTGGGCTTCGGATGAGAACTCAGTCAATGGGCTTATCGATCTGGTGCCGGCGTACACAGCCCTGCAAAGCCACATCCAATCTTGCGCTGTCGCTCGACAATTGACCTACATGCCTTATAAATGTCGCTTCTTCTGTTGCTGCTACTATCTCTGCGACGAACTCCTGAACGAGTTCGAAAGTTCAGGAAAAGAAGCAAAATGTGCCGGTGCTAGGCCCCCCTTCTTCACTTGTACGTACACCTGGAACTCGAAATTTCGCCTTCATTCGTGGACCAGTTGCATTCAAAGTTGTGCTTCTGCTTCAAAGGTTTTCGAGCGCAGTGATTTATTTTGAGAAATAGGAATAGCTTTGAGGGAACTTATTCTAGAGGACTTATCGTTCTCGATTCCATCAGATATAGTAGTATATCCCATCGCGTTTTCGTCAAAGATACCACTAAATAGAAACTTGCACAACCACTCATGCAAAATTTCAACCAATCAGGAACGTCGGACCTTCCCACTCATTGATTTGCGTAGAAGCAGAATATTAAGTCGCGAGAGAGTTTGGAAGGAAGGGCGATGAGAAGTTTGCGTCATTTTTCGCAACTTTATTTCCATACTTTTCCCCGGCCAACTACTCACCTTGTCTATCGGCTGATGGCGGGATTCCCTGACGCGTCTGCCTGGCATTACGATTTTTTTTCTGCCAATCGCCCTCGTAGCCGTCGTGAATCCGGCCTGACAAATAAACGCTGGATCCTTTGCGCATGCTATGCAAAGCGGGGCAAAGCACAGAATGGAGTCATGACTCGTTATTTCGGCAAGGCCCTCTATCATCGCAGCAGGGGCATTAAATAAACTATCAGGCGCGTCACCCACTGGTGTATTACGATTGTGCTGCACAACATATTGGATGATCGGGCTGACAAAGGCAGCGTAAGATGAGGCTTGGCATGCCAGTCGTTTGCAGTAATTTATGATGCGGCTAACAAACAGCCGGCTTAACCGATCGCATGATTGTATCGAAGGGAGTGATAGCTCATCACAAGTCGGGGGAAACCCTGTGGGATCTTAACAGGGTCAGTGTGTGAGTCTACGTGGGAGAGTTGTTGAGTCCCTAACGGGGTCAGCAGTAGCTCGAGTGTGGGAGAGCTAGGGGGAGGAAAAGGAGGGAGAGCCATGAATAGACATCCTAATCGATAGATGCGCTCGTCGACTGGAGAGGGCTGTCTCCTGACATAATCACCTCAAAACCCGCATGAGGTGCCTCCACCCGTTGGCGGTCGGCTGTCCTCTTCGTGGTAAGAGCTGAAAACTTCCCCCTTAGCGCTTCAAAACCCCCAGGAAAGATCAGTCTTACTTGCTAGGAACTATTCACTTTAAGGCAATCTTTCTCGGAAAGTATGGACCATCGCCAGGATCCTTTCCGATTCTCGACAGGTGCACACAGTTAGCCCTTTAAAGAACGGTCGTTAAGCTGAGCCACACAGGTTTGTCGCAAAATAGTATGGTCGACAAGACAAGGATTCCCAATCATAAGTCAGGGAAGACGGAAAGAGTTGGACAACCTTTACTGTTTTGGAAGTGCGTACACAAAGGCTCTGCTGGCAGTCGCCGAGAGCGGGCTCTCCAGGAAAGTCCCTTCTGTGTCCGCCGTTGAGGGGCTTAGACCCAGCGTATGTGTGTGCCTTTCGTTGTGTCAGTGTTCGCCAGCCAATCAGAGGAGGGACAGCGTCAATTGGCCTGGAGCACTCGCGAGGCTAGTGACAAGCCTCGCGCGTCCCAGCAGCGTATCGACAAGGAGTGTGAGGCGGACAGGAAGGCAGCGTGACAAAGGCGGAGGGCAAGGAGACTCGAACTGCCACAAGTTCCCTTATTGAGCATGCACCTCCTGTGACGGCCAATAGGCCAGAAACGGCCATTCCAATCCCCTTCGTCTTTTTCGACAATGTTCTTCTACCTATATTACGCGCCGCTATGCGGCTGCCGGTTAGGCTCTAGAGAGAGCCCCAAGGTACAACGAGACGAGTGATTTCCGTAGCACGATCAATGAGCGACTTCCCTCTATCATATATTCATCTCTCCGATTAGGTGCACCGGAAAGCAACGACGATGATTGGTGGCCCTAAGAGTCTGTCGTACCATACTGAGTTAAAAGACCTTGGCTTGTTTGCCTCTCTTAGAGAAACTTACAGCGTAGCCTGCCCTGGACATTCCAGATGGCAGTGGTTGGTCGCTGGAATCGGAGGACTTTTCACAACTCACCTAAGCGGTCCAGATGCGGACGCGCGCGACTAGATCTCGGAAAAGGTATCTTCAGACAACGAGTAGTCAGAGCACACAACGCGCTGCCATAAAGCAAGATGGTGATGGTCAACACCCCATATTTGTTTTTGATAGAATAATCGACTGAAACTTCCTTCCGTATTACTTCGTACTGAACAACAGCAACGACAACAACAACAACAACGACTGTTTTTATTGTGTTGTATTTCGACTTACACGTCCTTTGAAATTCTATAATGACTGCAAGTGCGCGAATTAACTGTGCATTAATAGGGTCAACAAGGGGTCTGTCTGTAACCTTCAAATATACAATATGCAGTACATATAAATATATAGATAGATGGGAAATCGCAGCTGACGATGGTCGTTTTTCGCGCAGATGCTTTCATTACCATTCATATTCGGGATCGCGTGAGAGAAACTTTACCTCATGCTCTGTTTAAGGTAAGGAGCTTTATACGCAGTGAAACTGCCGTTCCGAAGGCAGCGCGAAACTTCTTAGGGCAAATTTATCCGAATTAACATCCTTATCTTTATAATCGTCTTTTTGAATTAAATCTGCCTCAGATATAACGCCCCCTACGGATTTTATTATAAGCCAAAGTGTCCCTTGAGAAGACGAATCAGAAGATGCGATTTTTTAAACGGTTACATCCCGAAACTCGCATTTTCGTTCGTATCAACAGTGTCTTTTACGTATCTGTGCATTCGATGTTTTTAATTGTGTATAAAAACGAAAATTCGAATTCCAGGAAGTGAGTAAATATTAGACCCGTGCGCTCGAGCAGAAATTTAAATCGCCTGACGTTTCGGACTCATGCTTGAACTCATCCTCAGTGACGACGACTGACGAGGTTAGTGGACGTGGGAAGGTTGCACTATTCTTAGGCGTCACTTCCTCTGAAATTCACGCCAACTGTCGATGCCTGCTTAATTACCCTTTATTCGAGGCGTTAATTGACGTAATTTCATCACTGACGTTAATTATTGGCAATCTGATTTACCAGTTCTATCACCGAAAGTAGTTTCCGCTCACGAGCACCTCGCGTGACCATTTACTCCACCCAAGCAAAGTCGTAGGGTTGAACACGGCTGGGAGAGGCTAGTGCGTTTGCTTGGGGGACTGTGAGGCGCAAAACCGTGATAAGAGCAGCTCACAACTCACATAGTTGTCGTCCCCCGCGAGAATTTTGACCTTGTAGAACTCCTAGTTTTCTGTGATAACGGGTTCAAGCGTGAATGCAAATCGTCTGGCTATCGAGTCTCCTCATCATGCAATGATCTTTTGTCAGAAATAAACCGACCTAAAATGGTCTCGAAATATGCGATACTGCAGCTTTCGCTGGGCATTGAAGGGAGCATAATAAAATACAGGCAAGAAGATGAGTTGCACTTGTTTGTTATGTTTAAAAATGGTTTTAAAATATTTGCCATTACATCTCTGTAGGTGGTGCACTACCACCAAAAATTGTGTAGATTTCTTCATGATCGCGGGTGACGTTTTCGTCTGTACTAGTTTTAATAAACCGGCACGTGATGTATATCTATAAAAGTGAACATTTACTATCTAACGGCGGTGCTCAGAAACTTGAAAGCGCATGTCACAAGTGATTTTTACGTGGGTTTCTATTTCTAAGCAGGCCTTCTATGACCAGCAGGGCCATATGTCTATTTTTAAATCATTTGAAATATCACCAGTCTCTGGTTCGTTGAGCGGTTGCCTCAGGTAACTTGAATGGTATGTCGGGATGGTATGGTCGACAAGGCAGGGGTTCCCGAATCAGAAGTCAGGGAAGACGGACTGCGGTGGAAAACTTTTACTGCTGAGGAAGTGCGTACACAAATGCTCTGCAAGCAGTCGCCACGAGCAGTCTCTCCAGACAAGTTGTCTAACCCATTTCGTCTCCCCTGACTTCTGATTTGGGAACCTCTCTCTTGTAGACCATACCATCCGGACAATTGGTGACCCCGACGTGATGTGAACACGCAACCCCACAATCATCACGAATTTCCTGCTTGGCTTTAGCTCATTTTTTATGCGTCATTTTATGTGACCACAATAAGGAGCATTCAGTTACCAACATCCAGTCGTGAGGCGAGCCATAATGCCATCAAACAACGTCAGCCCATCCAGTCCAGGTCATGGTTCCAATCCCATCCAACAGCAGTCGTCAATCAGTGCCGGAATGCAGACGTCCTTTCCATCATTCACTATCTTACTTCCTCTACTACCAGCGGCAATTCTTCACTCAGTCCCACGAATACCGGCACGGCGTACGGATTTGCCGTCGACGCGCAACTCAAGAACCCCACCATCGGCTTTCTGCAGCCGCCCCTGTGTTATCCTGGCTCCATCGCGCCAGTCGCAGCCGCCGATAAGGATAAATTTAGTACGTTTCGCATTCACTCAATCTAACTATCCTTCCTTCGTTTGTCTTCTTCATCCGAACTTCGGTCTGGGAAGGGAGCACTTGTAGTGGCCCCACTCCAAACGCGCCTATCTCAACGCTGGGCCTCTGGCGTGTGTCTGCACGCGCGCACCAGGCCTGTCGGGCATTCGCCCATTCAGCTTTCCAACCGACCAATCAGGTTCAAGGCCGATTCAGATGTGGCCTATCTTAAGACGCTTTGACTCATTCCCTGACGAGCATTGGGGAACACGGCTCACCCGGCGACGGACGTGCCCTCCCACTTCTCTTTCTATTCGGGACCGGGCCTGAAGGTCGTGGTGGCCAAGGTCCCAATCACGGCCTATGCTATCTGCGATAGGTATCCCTTGGCTGTTGGCATCAGGCAGCTTAGAAAGACCAAACAAGCCACCAACTGGCGGCGTGCGAAGAGTTATTAATCAAATTTGCGTCTGTTGTTGGCAGGGCTTTTTTTAGCACACTAAAACTCAACACTTTGTGTCACTAAGATACCCGCCCCCCTCCTGTGAGAATGGAGGTCGAGAGTACAGAGTGAAAGGGAACAAAAGTATATGTTACGCGTAAAGAGCACGATGGTATCGATTGGGAAAAGGGACACGATGACGACTGCTCGCAAGGGGCATGATACGGATGCTGAGTATACTTAGGGGCACACACTCGCTCCAAGGTAGGTGAATGCCGTAAGAGTCGAGGAATCAGTACGTTCTCTACTATTATTAACTGTCGCCATTTTAGCTGAGTAATCGCGCGATGCTTGGATGTTGGCTGTTAACATTAGCATTCACCCTGCGCACTTAGCAGATCTACGTAACTGAGACGACCGAGGTCCTTTTGGACGACAGGCAAACAGGGGAGAGTTAGAAAAACGAGACAACTTTCCAAAAGAAAACGAAGTCAGTTAAAAACAACTTGACAGATACTTCATCTAGATAAATGGGGGAGAACGGCAATAATTTATGGTTCTCAGTCATCTCTAATCTTTCAGAAATTGAGACGCTAAAGCACGGATTTCATGGTCGCTTTTTAGTCCGGACTTGCCATTCCAAAATCTACGAACCCCTTATTCCACTCAGGTGGATAGTGACTTCGAGAGGCAGCCCCACTTGTGACCTAGTGGAATTAACGTAAAAGTCTAGGTCACGAGTATAACCCTGGCTACCACGATCTTCATGTCCGGTCCTGAATGGAAAGAGAAGATGGAAACCGGTCAGAAGGATTGTTTATTTTGTAGGATGCTATTACCGACTAAGACCAGGTAGACTAGAATGGCCACTTCTGGCTTATTAGCCGTCGTCAGCCAGTCAAACCCAACCCCGAAGTGTGGAACACCTGGGGCTCGATCCCGCGTCCTGTTAGATCGGTGAGCGCCCCTCTACCATTGTACCTTCCCGACCGCAACCGACAGGACAACAAGCCCGTGGCTCAGTTGTTAGAGGCGTTGAACTTCTAACTGAGAAGTCGCGGGATCGAGCTCCAGATGTTTCACACTTCGGAGTTGGATATAACTGACTGACGACACCTACGAGTGAGATCTTTACCACAACAGTGAGGGTCAAAAGTTTAATTGACATGTTTATATATCTCATTTCATATGGCCTATGACGTACTGATGATCGGTAACAACCGCGAAACAGCTATCTGCGTCTGGCTTGTTGCACTCCTAGTGAGATTCTTATGTAGTATATATAGTGATCCACACTCGGGGTTGGGTATGACTGGCTGATAACGGCTAATAAGCCAGAAATGGCCATTCCGGTCTCCCTTGTCTTCGTCGGTATTACCTTATCTACATATATCACTAGTCGCTGTGCGACTGCCTGCGAGGGTTGAAGTATGAGCCCCAAGGCACAACAGAACGAGCATGTTCTGTAACCTAATGGGCGAGCGCCCATCTGTCATAATTGATATTCCCGATCACAACCGACAGGACAACGAGCCCGTGGCTCAATGGTAGAGCGTCAAAATCCATGACCAAAGAACCCGGGTTTGAATCTCAAGTGATCCACACTTAGGGTTGGGTATGACTGGCTGATGACGGCTAATAAGCCAGAAATGGCCCTTCCGGTCTCCCTTGTCTTTGTCGGCATTACCTTATCTATATATATGCTTTGTGAAG